CAATGCCAACTGCTGTCTTAGACGGCAGATACATGAATGTCCCTAAGAATCTAAGGCTGTGTATTTGCGGAGCAGGTGAGATAGAGGATATTGTTCACTATTTACTCAACTGTCAGCTCTATCAAACCCTAGGGAAAAATCCCTTGGGAAACATTTTTGGCTGCCCTACTTGAGGAAAACCCTCAGATAAAGGTGGGCAGGTTACGTTTGGACTCTGACCCATATGTTCTACATAGAACAATGCTGTTTGCGAAAGCAGCTGGAAACATCTGTGCTAATTTCCTGACAGCCAATTTAGACAACCACCTGACATATATCCTTTGATTTTGACTCCTGCACTGAATAAGGGGTTGGACTCAATGCCTTTATAGGCCCCTTCCAACTTTATGATTTTGTGGGCATGTTACACCTCAGCAGAGTCCAATTTGTAAACTTGTGGCCATCAGTTAAAGATCTAAATCAAATGTTTTCTACCTGTGCTGAAAAAGAAGGAGGAGGGAATTCAGCACTACTTTTTGGATAATACTTTCCTCTTAATGTGTGGGAAATTTTTGAGGGGAGAGACTTATTAAACTTCCTTATAGGCACTTTAATAATCCTGTACAAGGTGAGACTGAGGAAGCTACATGAGACAAAAAGGCCTTGGATGCCTTGTGGCCAAGAACCTTCCTCCATTGGACTTATATGCTGGTCCATCTTTATCTCTTTCATACTAATGGGAAGAGAGGTCAGAGCACTTCTTACATAAATTGTGACCAGTATCTATCGTTTCCAAGTCAGAAGCATCCCTTTCCCTCAGATTTCAGGACCAAGGTACATATCATACTAATGGGAAGAGAGGTCAGAGCACATCTTAGATAAATTGTGACCACTATCTATTGTTTCCAGGTCAGAAGCATCCCTTTCCCCTAAGATTTCAGGACCAATGCTTGAGACCAATGTACATATGCCTCGATGTGCCCATGTGATGTCACAGAGGTAGGGTAGGCAAGAGATCAGAAAGGATCTAGAATAGCCACAGAAGAGTCTGGATAGGACATGACAGAAAATATTAAAATGCAACAGAAAAAATGTTACTTCTAATTTATATATATTTTACTCTTGTAAAATGAAAGTAACTGTGTAGATATGCTTTAGTTAGCAAAGCAAATACACTAGGAAGGTAGTTCCACTAAAAGCTATTTTATCTTGAAATTCCAGTGCTCAAGAGACTGATCCATAGTGCCACTATCCCATAAGTGTTGCCCCTCTCCCAAAACACATTCAAGGTGAACACAGAAGGAACATGACTATAACTCCCTTGTTTCACAGGCAGGAGCAGAAGCATTGTCTTGAGAGCATCAAGGGGGAATAATAGTACCTCAGACTTTTCTCTGTTCCCAGAACTTGTCATCTCTTCCCAGAAGGAAGATGAATAATATGCTGGAGGTAAAACTGAAGAAAGAAGCACAGACATATCATTGCTCTTATGAGTAAGACATGAGGTTCTATTTTCTGGTAAGTTGTTTTCATGTATTGTTGTTTATGACCTTCCCTTACTAATTCCTATAGTTATAAATCACAGCATTTTTTCTTTCTGACACAACTGCCCTCTCTCATTTCAAACAACGTCTCAAAATCCAAAGCTCTCTCTTCTTTCTTGCTTCTCTGTTCTAACATTCAAGTCTACAGTCATTCAACACTCAACCGTGTAAAAGACAGTGTGGAAATGTGAAGACGATTTAAATAATGTTGCAGTCTCAGTGGTTTTCTGAGTCTCGCCAGGCTGAGACCACTTGAGAAGACTTCTTCCTGCACTATTCAGATTTCTCAGCACAAAAATGTTTTTCACTTTTCCCCCCCATCAACTGGCCATTGCTCAGGAAACTGCTGAATTCTGGGCTGTTAGATGCCACAATTCCATTTTTTTAATCACTTGTAATAATTCTGCAAAGATAGGTCTTTTCTTTTTCCGGGGGGGGGGGTGTGGAAGGACCACGGAAAACCCAAGAAAATCTAGGATATTTCTTGTGGGGCAGGGGTTGAGAATCTCATGCAAAGAAATCTTGGTCCAAGGAGAAAAAAAATATCCAAAGAGACAGCTTTAGATTTTGAAACATTGTTTGAAATAAGAGAGTTTAGTTACAGGATTTTGTGTGTGAGAGAGAGACAGACACTCAATGAGAGCCAGAGTCTGATTCACATCTGTAATTTACTGTACCATTTATTTTCACTTTTACTCCCATTCTACCTTCTGTTTTGATCTTTGTCACATAATTTCTCTTTGGTAGGAAGTTATTAGCTTGTATTGATCCTAGGTTACTATTTGGTATGTGATTCACCCTTACAACCACCCACAGCAGCAGGAACAACAGAAACTAACCCATTAGTTAGTCTCATTGATTTCTTTATATTTCATGCTTTCCTTGGAATTTGATTTTGCATGTTTAATGGGTCAGAGATCGCAAATAAAGATTGATTGATTGATTGATTGATTGATTGATTGATTGATTGATTGATTGATTGATTGATTGATTTTGCATGGTTTCTTACTAATGGTCAAGTATGAAATATACTATTTTGTGGAATGTGATGGACTAAATCTTCTCCATGTCACCAGTTCTGAGATTCTTAGCTATGGCTGTAATATCAGTGATATGATTTATTTTGCATTTCTTTCAGGTTTCTGATGATGTAATTTCACAAGGGTCACATTTTCAAAGCAAAGTATCATTGGCTGCTTCTGATTATCTCCCCAGCCTTGGTACATCAACCCAAAGGAGCTGCCTCCAACATTTACAACAATATTAGGTACTTGACTTTCAACTTTTGTAGACCTAGACTATGGGAAACCATACTGAGGTCACTGACTTCATTCTGGTGGGATTTAAGGGTGAGCCAGAGACACAGATCATCCTCTTAGCTATCTTCTCAGTAATATATGTTGTCACCCTCATGGGGAACTTAAGCATGATTCTAATCATCAGCGTTGACTCCCACCTCCATACCCCGATGTACTATTTCCTAAAGAACCTGTCATTCTTGGATATTTGCTATTCTTCAGTCATTACTCCCAAAGCTTTGATGAGTTTTGCAAGTGGAAACCAAGCAATATCCTATACTGGCTGTGCAGCCCAAATGTTCTTCTTTTCTCTTTTTGGGACCACTGAAGCTTTCTTCCTTGCTGTGATGGCATATGACAGGTTCATTGCCATCTGCCACCCACTGCTATACTATCATATTATGTCCAAGAAGAGGTGTGTTTGTCTCATGTGCACCTCTTACCTCTTTGGATGTGTCAACTGTTGTGCCCAGACTGGTTTTACATTCCATTTGTCATTTTGTGGTTCAGCTGAAATCAACCACTTCTTTTGTGATGTCCCAGCTGTCATTAAGGCCTCCTGCTCAGACACATTTGTGAATGAGCTTGTGCTCCTTGTGTTGTGTGGACTTATCATTGTGGTCACGTCCATGATTGTTCTAGTATCTTATGGCTACATAGTGACTACTGTCTTGCATATACCTTCTATCAAGGGGAGACATAAAGCCTTCTCAACCTGCACCTCTCATTTGATGGCAGTTAGCTTATTCTTTGGAACAGTTTTCTTTATGTATGCACAACCTGGGGCCATAGCCTCTCCCAATCGAGGGAAAGTCGTATCAGTCTTTTACACAGTGGTCATCCCAATGGTCAATCCTATAATCTACAGCCTAAGAAATAAGGAGGTCAAAGAGGCCCTGAGCAGGCAATTCAAAAAGAAAGGTTTTGGCCACTGATTGGCAACAGTGCAATCCTGTGTGTGACCACTTTCAATGTGGTCAACAAGATCTATTCCATGTAAGAGAAGACAAGATTACTGTACTGCCGTAAGGTTTTAATAAATGATGTAATTGTTCATCATATATGCAGGCAAACTGTGAATTCAAACTGCAATCTTGCACATTCTCGCATGACAAAATGCTTTTCAGATGTAGCGAAGGGACATAAATGTGTTCAGATTAGTGAGCAGACAATATTAAAAGAAAAAAAGAACTCAGTCTGCTGTCCCATGGAAATGAATGGAATGTGTATATCTGTTTATGTGTCGTTGGCCAAGTTGCTGACAATAAAAGATTAATGCACATCCAACTAAAAAAGTCTAGCAGAGCACTTAAGGTTAAGCTAAGTGTTCAGTGTGTTCTCCTTTATATGCAAAGTATACCCATAATTTTGAAGTCATCCATGCTTGTAATATTTTCCACTTATTCCCAGCCTTTGGAGGAGAGGACAGAAGACAAGTGAATTTACATTTTTCGATAGATGTCACATCTGTTCCTTGGAAAGTTACTTTTTTCAAGGTAATTTGTTCCTCTTATCCATTAGAATAAAATATGTTGTTTTTTCTGGTTGCAATACAAAGCAAAAATAAAAACAAACAAAAAAACAATAACCCCAATCTCTTTGGCTACTTTTTTTGTTACTTTAAAAAAGGTCTTAGGATAGACAAGAAAATACAATGAACCTTGAAAACTCCTGCTCAGAATGGCTCTAAAAAGGCCTAATGGTGCACTAAAACGTGCTAGATAGATTAGCTAAAATGTACTCTTAATAGGTCAAGTAAATGCTGGAAATATCATAAAAACTGGAGTTTATTATCACCTTTGGTGGACCCGTGATAAAGCAAAAACAATTTGGAAAAAAAATGTATATGGTTTGTTAAAATAATCAAAAAACATGTAAATTTTAAGCCAGAACGCTTTCTATTATGTATAATACCAGAAAGTGATGATAAACAAAATGTATATTTAATACTGCATATTTTGACAGCCACAAGGATTATATTTGTGCAATACTGGAAAAATGAAGAAACACCAACAGATCAAGAAATAATTAAAAAGATATTGGACTGCACCGAAACAGATAGACTGACACTGAAAATTAAAGGAAAGGAAGATGCAGAATATTATCAAACATGGAACTTTTTTTATCAATGCTTAGAAGCACGTTGTATAGATTAAGAGCTTAATATGTATTGTAGTTGTATTAACAAATGATTATAAGCTGAACCCAGGTGACACGATGTTAAATAAGCATGGATGGATTTTATAAATAATAATAAAAATAATTTTTTTAAAAAAACTAGCTAGAATACCTAAGATGCTATTCAGTATATACCCCAATAAAAGATCTTCCCAATTGCTGTGTTGCATTTATGTTTTTAATGTAATTTCATTATGTCCAATCAACCAATTGCAAGTAACTATGTTACTTGTTACTCTTTGTTACACAGGTTGGATGGGGAGATACACATTTAGGCAGTGGTCTAAGCAAGGGGTAGAACTAAAAAAAGAAATAAATTGGGGAAAAAAGTTCAGTGTTGCACCATGTCAATCCGAGGATATCAGGGCTGATTTTGTTTAGTTAACAAATGTAATTAATTTCTCTCTCAGCAAGTTGAAAGCAAAGCCTTCCTTTCTAACAGTGTGCTTCTTTCCTTAATCTAAACTTGTCAAGACCCCCAGATTTTCCTAACAATAAAGTATGTTTTGGACATAATTGTCTCCTTGTGTTAAAAATGAAACAAACCACTTTTCATCAAGCAACTTCATCTGTAGTGTAATAATAATGTGTAGCACTATCTTGTTGGCCATAAGGTAAAGATGATGGTAGTGGTGGTATAGTACTGTGATGAGATTTGGGTCCTGTCACATGACATACTGTTGGAAATTAACAAAAAGGCAAGTGTCACTGGGATTTTCTCCAACAACAACAACAAAAATATTCATTTACAGTTACCCTTTAAGACTGAAAGATATAAACCAGAGTCACCAATTTAAAGGTTTCTGACTGCTGATGGTAACTTGAAACCCATGGGAAACAAACTAAAACGTCCTGAAACCATCCCAATGTCATCTGATTTTGGAAGCTATGGAAACATCTAGATGAGGGACACTATGAAATATCAAGGATCTCTGGTAAGACTAGAAAACAGCTCTAGAAAGCTACTGCTGACCATCAGAGTTGACCATATTGATATAGATGGACCAAAACTCCATGGAAGTCAGCATCCTATTTTACCACTTTCTTTAGTAAATCCATCCACAGATGAAATAAATCTGTGGAGGGGGAAATTAAAAGACATCCCAAAAGTGAGCAATCAAGGAAGTAAGCTACCTTGGCCAGAGACTATAGACCTTAACTGCATATAGTGAAGAAAGTAAAGAGCACATAAAACAAAAAACAAACAATATGGTTCTCCCATATGTCTTTCAAAAACCCTCACCCACAGAGTCCTGTCTCAACCAGAAATGCTACCATTGCCAGCTGCAACTCAGCCTTAAGATATCAGGGCAAGAAGCAGCCAAGCTTGTAGCATTTCTTTCCTGACGTCTGTAGGATTTTGTGAAATGATTTTATAAATAGCTGTGAAGCCAGAAAAGTGAAAGAGTCAAGTCTCCTTAAGGGACTGTCTTTATTCAGAAAGAACACTCACAAGTCATGAGAGGACAGAAGTAGAACAAAAAACTTGACACTAGGCCTGCTTCACAAATAAGCCATCTTTCATAACCAGATCCTACAGGGTCATAATGGTCATAACCAGACCTAATGGTCATAACCACACATACAGTGGTGCCTCGCAAGACTATGTGAATTCATTCTGCGAAAATCGCTGTTTAGTGAAAACGTCTTGTAAAATGCGGTTCCCAATTGGAATGCATTGAAATCCATTTAATGCGTTCCAATGGGGGAAATAGTCATCGTCTTGCGAAAATCGCCCATAGAGAAACCGTTTTGCGAAGCACGGACCAGCTGTCAAAATTGCTGTCTTGCGAAAATTGGTCCCTAAAAAAACTGTTTTGCGAGTTACGGACCTAGCTGTCAAAATCGTCGTCTTGTAAAAAATGTTCCTGAAAAAAAAACATCTTGCGAAGCACGGACTGAAACATCGTCTAGCAAAAATCGCCCATAGGGAAAACCGTTTTGCGAAGCGCTATAGCGATCGCAAAAACTCATCATCTTGTGAATAAACCATTTTGTGAGGTAATCATCTGGCAAGGCACCACTGTACACAGAAGGAATTGGTGTTACAACCTAGGTTTGTCTTTTTTGAAGGAATAGGCCACACATGATAGAAGACTGAATAGGCAGCAGGATGGCTGGTGAACAGAACAGACAAATTAGTCAGACTACCTAGCACATTGTGGCTATAACATGTCCCAGGTAAATAACCTCAACTGTACAAGCCCATTTCACCACAGTTGTTCCTCCTGAACATAGGACATGCATCAAACACAATATATTCTGGGGTGGGATGAAGATGACCTCAGGATCTAAATGAAGGCACAGCAGAGGGTGGTATGTGTTTTACAGAAGACAACTTTGTATTTGAAGGAGAGTGTGCTATCTGAAGGAGAATCCTGTATTTGAAGGGGAATCCCCTATTTAAAAACCAGTGGACAACCCTCAGTTTAAAGGCATTGTCCCTCTGAGAAGCTGTCCAGTCTAAGTTATCTGTGAAAAAAAATATTGTTTCTGCAAATATGGAATATGCAAACACCATGGGAAGTGGGAGAAATACACAATGCCATTAATTTTAGGGATATTGTAGACTGGATTTTATTTTTTCCTATGGTGACCTTTCTAGTAATTGTATAAGGATAGTAGGCATGGGATTAACACCATCACAAAGAGGAAGAAAAAGGCAGTGGGGGCAGGGACGGACCTCGACAATCAAAGCCCAAACAAGAGGAATGTAGGCATTCATTCATAGTTACACACACTTATTCCTATTAGGAAACTGTTTAGCAAGCTAAATAAAGAAAAAGGAACATTCTAAAATATGTATTCTAGGTAGTAATGAAAAATAAATCTTTCATTTCTCCCTCTACCTTCACAAAATTGCTAGTGAAATGGGATGTACAGAGCAAGCTGACCTCAGTCTGGAGCCTCAAAATGGTAGAAGTGTCCAGGGGAGATTTTAGGCTTTGTTGCAGTGTTCAACTGTCAGTAGCCTTTTAATTTGGGACCAGCAACTGAGCCATTTCCTCAGTTCAAATTGCACAATATTTTTAGTTAAAAACTTTGAAATCCCTGAATGCCAGGTGGGCCATGATGGATACCAGGGACTGTTGCTGTGATCTGTGAGTAATCAGCAGTTTCACCAGTCACCCCAGAATCTCACAACTTTGCTTTGTTTTTATATACAGTGGTGCCTTGCTTAACGATTGCCTCGGTAAACGACGAAACCGCTTGACGATGAAGTTTTGCGATCGCTTTTGTGATCACAAAACAATGTTTTAAATGGGAAAAATTGCTTCTTGATAATCGGTTCCCTGCTTCAGGAACTGATTTTTCGCTAAACAACGATTTAGAAACAGTTGATTGGCGGTTCTAAAATGGCCACCCGCTGTGCAAAATGGCTCCCCGCTCTATTTTCAGGATGGATTCCCCACTTTACAGGCAGCAAAAATGGCCACCCCTTTGGAGGATCTTCACTGGACGGTGAGTTTTCAGCCCATTGGAACACACTGAACCGGTTTCAATGCATTTCAATGGGCTTTTTTGTTTCGCAAGACGATGTTTTCATAAGACAGTGATTTTTACAGAACGAATTAACATCATCTTACGAGGCACCACTGTATTTCTCAAAAGACACCGCACCTCCCTATTGCTTAACTATTTGCCTATGTCTCTTGAATTCAGTGACTTATAACTACCAACAAATGTGAGCCGGATGGTGCTCCTTATACACTTGTGCTTTAGTTATTATTATTGCTGTGTCCTGAGGGAAGAAAAGACTGAAAGGAAGCTTATTTTGAGTTTGTGTGATCTGGGGATGAGGAAGAAACCATTCTGTCAGAACTGACTTAGCATATATGAAACTCAACACAATTTTTCTTCACATACAGGAGGCCACTAATGAAAACCATATTGTTCTCTGGAGTGATTTTGCTTTTCTGAAATCTTTGGCACCAACCTAGAAATTGTTCTTTGTTCAATATTTTACTTTTCTTCTTCTTCCATTATTATCTTCACTTTTTCTTTTCTTCTTCTTTTTTGAGAAGATTTAATTTTCTTGGAAGTTAGCATGGTTTTTCTGAGGACATAATCGTGTGTAAGTAAACCTTACCAATAACATTGACAGATATTTGCAAAGTAGGAGAATCTAATGGCTCTTTTTGTCTGCCCATCCTTTGCTCCCTTACTGTGTCATGTGGAAGAAGCCTTTAAAAACAAACATACTGGTATTTGCATGGAAATGGGCATAGTAACCTTTTGTACATCATATGCCATAGTTGGTTTTCAATTACATTTATTTATTGCTTGAAATTCCCCACTCTTGCTTTTTAAGGGGGAAAAATGATGTAATCTGAAATTTCTTTGTCATGTATGAGAGTCCCTTACTTTTGAACAAGGACGGACAGAAAAGTTTATGTCCTATATATCATTTTAAAGCATCTGTTTTATCTTGTTTCCTCATTAGTTGATGAGTTTTTTTTTTAAAAAATGCAAATCAATACTTATTTAAATGTGTATTTCCAAGCATATTGTTTATGAGCATGCATCATATCTTACTGTATGTATTTCTGCATATATTTTATGTATATTTTGATATATTTATGATTTGTACTACAGAAGTTATGCAGGAAGTTTACACAAGATCCGTTTGTACTGAAGTTCTCAAATGGTAAATACTTAAGCTTTCTTGCTGCCAGCATCACCACCACTGCTAAAAAAAACCCCTCCTAAAACATTGTATAAACAGAATGTTCCATACTATGTATTGCTCCTATTATTTTTGTATGTAATGATAATAGAAAAACTTTCCAAAATATATTCCTTCCTTCATCAGACAGGTATACAAAGAATGACATAATAATGTAGTATTGGCTGAAATCTTGTTGATTAGTGTAGCAAGTTGCGACTTGAGGAGGCCATTGAATCAAAGGAACCTATGGAGAAGTTGACTCACCAAACTCCCTCTGATTCAATGGGTCTTTTCCAGTGTGATTTACTGTGTTAGGCAATAGGATTTCAGCCATTATCTTGTATCAGTTTATCATCACTCCAAACTATAGTACTATAGTGCACAGAGGCACATGTTGTTGAATCCATTTTCCTCAGCTTTGGACATTCTGGGGAAACATGATGGGCATAACTGTTCATCAGCTTCTAAAGGGCTAAATGTTTTCTATCCCTCAGAGTGGTCTAATATCCTGCTTCCTGCAGTAGCCACAAAGCCCAGGGAGAGAACTTTCATTGTCCCATCCTAATTGTTCCTCTTGATCAAGAGGCATGAGATGTTGTGCTGAAGCATCTATTTAGCTTTTATTGCTAATAACGAATGATAAATATACTCATCAGGCATGTCTAATCATCATCTAATGGCATTCAGATCAATGAATCATTGTATGTGCCCATTTACATTTATGTGCATATAGTTTAGTATCTATTCTACATCAAATGTAAAAATCCTTCAAACTAAGATTATCCAAAGCAGAAAATGAAGAGTTGTCAATGCAACATTCCAGTTTAAAGAATTGTAGCATAATGACATATCTCTTTAGGACATTAAACCTTCTAAACATGCCATTTTTAAAATAGTAAGATCAAAATGAGATATGGTAAAGGGGATCAATTATAAATTTTAATTTGGTGATGGCACTAAATGGAGTTATGATGGGAGAATGTTCAAACTCTATGCTGGAATTGCCAAATACACCACAGGACTTTGCAGTAGCTGCACAGGAATCACCCATTCCTATACAGGAAAGGCATTTCTAATATCTGCGCCCTTTTGGAAATTCTCTATGAGATATTCTAGAGATCACTGAGATTTCCCATGAGATTTCTGTCTTGAGTTATCTGACTGCAGATAAATCTTCAAAAATAAAGAAAATTTAAGGAAGGAAGGAAGGAAGGAAGGAAGGAAGGAAGGAAGGAAGGAAGGAAGTAAGTAAGTAAGTAAGTAAGTAAGTAAGTAAGTAAGTAAGTAAGGAAGGAAGGAAGGAAGGAAGGAAGGAAGGAAGGAAGGAAGGAAGGAAGGAAGGAAGGAAGGAAGGAAGGAAAGAGCATAGCCTTTCAATCTCCTGAAATCATTCTAAGATTGAAGTAATTTCAGATCTACTCATAGACTGACAATACCACCTCTTTCTGTTCTTAGTTCCCTACTATCCCCAACTGCATTAGTGTCTCACTACTAAGATTTAATTGGATGCACATATATCTTTTACACCACTTATTACAACCTGACACTACACAGAGTATGAGAACCTCACTCATTTGTGATATTTTTCTGACTGACCTCTCACAAATATCTCAGAAGCTGTATGAAAGAGCTAGTGTAGATCATTTCATTCCTTTGTCAGTTAAAATATTCATAACCGTCTCCATAACTTTACAGAAACTAATGGCTTATTTTCCAAAACATTTAAAGAGTTCAATAGATAACTGGGCTTCTGAACTTGCAGAGCATATAATTTGTGCTATAATTTTTATGGTTCGTTCTTACATATCTTTATATAATGGTACTGTTTCCAATAGTCAAGAAAGTTGATTGAGAAGTTAATTTATCTCTGTTAGTAATTAACTGCAAGCTCAGAATGTGACTCTTTGATGCTAAAAATCCAAAATTTTACCACTTGTTAATTTTAGTTTGAATATTTATTTCAGCTCTGCAACATTCTATTGTTCAGAATGCAGTGGGGGAACAGAACGCAAATATTTCTCCTGGTTGGTTTTCCTGGAAGCCTTGGACTTCAGATGTCACTGTTTATTCTTTTTCTGCTCATGTATGTGTTGACAATAACAGAGAATGTGGTGATCATTGTATTAATCCAGGTGAATGTCACACTTCATAAGCCTATGTACCTTTTCCTAAGTCATCTTTCTTTCCTGGAAATCTGCTATGTTTCTGTCACTGTTCCAAAAATGCTTACAGGCTTTGTGACAGAAAATAAATATATCTCTTTTGCTGGTTGCATGGGTCAGTTGTACTTTTTCCTGGCTCTGGCATGCACCGAGAGTGTCCTGCTAGCTGTCATGGCTTACGACCGCTATGCGGCTATATGCAATCCCTTACGCTATCCTTCCATTATGAGACGAGAACTATGTATCCGCTTGGCAGTTGGTTCGTGGATTAGTGGCTTCTTCATAGCCATGTGGAAAGTCTTCTTCATCTCACGCCTGAGTTATTGTAGACCTAACATCATCAACCACTTCTTCTGTGATGTCTCCCCACTTCTCAATCTGGCCTGCACTGATATGTCATTGGCTGAACTCATGGACTTCTTGCTGGCATTGCTCATTCTCCCTGTTCCACTTGCTGTGATAATTGTGTCCTACATCTTCATAATCTCTGCTATTCTTCACATGCCTTCAGCCAAAGGGAAGCAAAAGGCTTTTTCTACATGTGCGTCACATCTTCTGGTTGTGACAATTTTCTATGCTGCCTCTCTTTTCATATATGCAAGGCCAAAAGCCCTCATCTCCTTTGACTCCAACAAGCTGATATCTGTTATGTACACTGTTCTGACACCACTTCTCAATCCAATCATCTACTGCTTCAGGAATCAAGAATTCAAGGTTGCTCTCAGGAAAGCACTGCATGGGCCAAGCAGGCACTTAGGCTAGTACTGCAAAACTGTTTACTGCATGTATGCTTTAGTACTGAGGATGTTCTACATATACAGTGGTGCCTTGCTTGATGAGACTAGTCTGTTCCAGCAAAATCACTGTAGAATGAAATCCTTGTCAAGCAAAATGAAAAAGCCCATTGAAACGCATTGAAAACCGCTCAATGCGTTCCAATTGGTGAAATACCTCAGTGTCCAGCAAAGATCCTCCATAGGGCAGCCATTTTCTGGTGCCTGTAATGTGAGAAATCTGTCCTAAGCACAGCAGGGAGCCATTTTTAAACAGCAGCTGGCCATTTTGAAATCCGACGATCAGCTGTTTTCTGATCGTCATAAAGCAAAAAATCGGTTCCTGAAGCAGGGAACCAATCATCGAGAAGCGATTTTTCCCATTTAAAACATTGTTTTGCAATCACAAAAGCAATTGCAAAAACTTCATCGTTAAGCAATTTCCTAGTTTAATGAGGTAATCGTCAAGCAGGGCACCACTGTATATGCTTTCACATACATAGCCATAGATGTGGGAACGGATATTTTCCTTTAGGCTATTACAGTGGTGTCCCGCTTGACAATTACCTCGTTAGATGAGGAAATTGCTTAATGATGAACTTTTTGCAATCACTTTTGCAATCGCAAAACGGTGTTTTAAATGGGAAAAATTGCTTGCTGATGATCGGTTCCCTGTAAATGGGAAAAATCGCTTGACGATGATCGGTTCCCTGCTTCGGGAACTGATTTTTCGCTTTACAACGATCAGAAAACAGCTGATCGTCGGATTTCAAAATGGCCAGCCGCTGTTTAAAAATGGCTCCCTGCTGTGCTTAGGACGGATTCCTCACATTACAAGCACCAGAAAATGGCCGCCGTATGGAGGATCTTTGCTGGACACTGAGGTATTTCGCCCATTGGAACGCATTGAGCAGTTTTCAATGCATTTCAATGGGCTTTTTCATTTTGTTGACGAGGATTTCATTCTACAGTGATTTTGCTGGAACAGATTATCCTTATCAAGCGAGGCACCACTGTATTGTATTTGAACTGCTAGTTGGGTGGAAGGGGGGGCTTATTTAGCTCTTTGTAAACATTGTGTGTAGACTTGAATTAAAAATAGTTTTATACTAAAAAGCAGTCCCTGTGTCTATGTAGAAATACTGTACATATGTAGTGCATGTCTACATATGGTAGCATGCATCTCTCCAGAGATCGTGCCTGTATCCTCAGGCAAATTAAAATGATTCCATTAATCTACTGAAAGAAGCAGCCCTAGTTGCATCTACAGGAACAGGATCAACTACACTGTTCAAATGAGAGTGGATCTGAGTGATTTTATCTGCAAGTTGTTCCAAATTCTTCACAACAAGTTATATAATGATCCTTATCTTCCTTTCATGGGACTAAATGTAATAGTCACTTGACAATTCCAAAGCATTCTGGGGCGCTAGCTGCCCCCCCCCTCTAATGGGAATCAGATAGGAAAGATTGTGGCTACTGCCCTGGTCATTTCCTCATTCCAAAGGATCAGTCAGGTTTTAATTGTTTTTGAACTGGTTTTAAATTACATTTTGTAATCTTAAGATATGTTTAGTTTTTGTTTTAAATGCTATTTAGATAGAGCTATTTAAATGTTGTTGCTTTATCTGTTGTGGGCCACCTTGGGAGAAAGGTGGCATATACTGTAAACCAGAGGTTCTTAACCTTGGGTTACTCAGGTGTTTTTGGACTGCAACTCCCAGTAGCTTTCACCACCAGCTGTGCTGGCTGGGGGTTCTGGGAGGTGCAGTTCAAAAACACCTGAGTAACAAAGGTTAAGAACGAGTGCTGCCAACCAACCAACCAACCAACCAACCAGATCACCTGCTAAAGTGACTATGTGGATCTATGAATGTCCTGGGTTGGACCACCTTAATGGATCCCTCCATGTTTGCAGATGTTCAGAGTTCCAGTGAATCTCAACTCCATGAGATAGTGATGTGACCACGAATCTGCAGATACTCATATACACCCAGATCATGCTCAACCTGCTCAGAGCAGAAAGCAAAGTCTAAAAGATGACCTGTTGCATGAGTGAGGTCAGATATCACTTGGGTCATCATGGACGACATGAAATTCTGAGCCACTCATATTGAAGTGATCCCAGGACAGATACAGAAGTCTCACAGCATGAAAAGCTCTGGTGACTCTAGCACAACCTGAGACCAGCTCAGCTAGTTTAGAAGGTACCGTGTGGTAGAATGAGGTGGGTGGTGCATCAAGAGAACTCCTGTTCTGTTCCAGGCACCCAATATTAGGTACATACACTCATCCTCAGAAAACTGTGAGAAAGGGCATTTGGTGAGAGGGATGGAATCAAGACAGACCACTGAAACATCACCTTCCTGTACCTATATGTGACATACATCTCTGTTACTTCCTTCTCTTGGAGCAACCTTTACACATTTCTGGTACCTGCACACACATACAAATGTATGCACTACAGCTGTTTTTAAAGTTATGCTATATTCAGGCATGTACAATTTTACATGAGTGACTGATTCACACTTAAATCCAGAGCCACATATGTCAACAGATGCAGTGACTTGCTCATTTCCCATGACGCCCTTTGCAATGATCCCACTCCTGAGGGCAGGTGAACTCTCTGGAAACAGAGGGAAGAATGAGATACTCGCGTTTGGAGTGGAAGCAATCAATAAAATCTGAGTTTACTGGCCATAGTGCGAATCTAAGTGTTTTTTCCCACCTTGTGCACAACTATCTCTGGATGAAAATTTCAATGTGTTATACTGATGATGCAGTTCAGGAGTTTCTTCAAACAGCAATGAATCAATGGAAGGAAAAAGTTACAGAGGGTGGAAGCAAGCTCCATATGTCAGCAACATTCAGCTCCTCTGCCAGACTAAATTAGCATTCACTAAATCAAAGTACTCTGCTCTTCTGTATATACAGAACTCTACCACTAGGATCATATTACCCAGCTGAAGAGATGGTGATTCTCTTTCTCTCTGACATGAAGATTTCCCCTCACAGGCTGTTTTTCTTATTTCTTTTCTGGATTAACTTATCTTCACAACCTTTGCTTTCTGAACAAGTCTTCTGGATATTCACAGGAATTCTTTCCATAGTCTCATCACCTCTTCTGTGTAAGTAAAACATCACAGAAACAGAAGACTGCCAATATTGGTGAGGATATCTCTGTATCTTTAATTTTATGATTCCACATGCATGTGTTATAATCTTAATAACAATGGCATTGGGGGCATTAGCACACAGCAGATACTCTTGGATTCTGGGGCAATTTTATATTTTGTTCTTTGTGGTTCTGTTTCTATCACATATATTTTAAATTCTGTGTTCTCTCAGAACATATCATTTACAACACATTGCTGGTATCCATAAATGGAACAGAAGAGAATGTTTTCTCACACTAGTCTGATAGAAAATTGCTATTCCAGTAACAGAAATTCAGTGACAGTACTTTCCAAGACGGGAGGTACTCTGTCTGCAAAAGGCAGTTTCCGGATCCAACTTCAAGGAAAGAAAGAAAGAAAGAAAGAAAGAAAGAAAGAAAGAAAGAAAGAAAGAAAGAAAGAAAGAAAGACAGACAGACAGACAGACAGACAGACAGACAGACAGACAGACAGACAGACAGCAACTACCTCACATTTTCTAATAGGTTTATTTCCCTTCTTTTTCAATAGATTGTTAAAATGTGGAGAAAAAGTTTCAGTCTAATTAAACATCAGTAGTGGAGCTGCGAGAGAAAATAAAATAATCTGATTACGGTGTAAAGAAGATGTATTACTCTCACAGCTACTGCATGGTTATGATGCAGGAAGGATAGTCAGATGGGAAAGGTTCAATGCTCCATTCCCAGTAGATTGCAATCACAATGTAGAAGAAACCTTGTACTCTACAATTTCCCAGAAACTGTATTTGACTTATTAAATATAATGTAGGACCCTAAGTGTAATAGGAATAACGATGCAAATGGGGCAGTATGCAAAAAGGTGTGTGTGGAGGTTCAGGGCACATTGGTAGAGGTTGGAATCCAAAGCCATGCACCAGCAGTACGAAACCTGCATGTCTTGATGCACCAGTAGCATCTCAAGCCACCACAACCCCAGCAAAGGAGTGAAGCCTCCCCACCATTAAATATATCATTGTTGCTGTATTTCTAACATTAATTTGTTCTAGTACATCTCTGTACATGTTTACTCAGACGTAAAGCTCATGGCTTTTCACTCAGTCTGCTAAGTGCCTGGTACAAATGCATAGCAAACTTTCACAAAAGAATAGAAATGTTTCACATAAGGAGACATTATATGTAAATTAAAGTCTAATTGTTCTCATAGACTTGTATTTTCCCCACCCCCATAATTACAAAATAGGCAACTTGTGGCCCTCCAAATCAACATAACCTGGAAAGCCATAAAGGTACCTAAATCAGTGTCATTGTATCACCTCATGAATTTCTGTCAAATATTTAGACAGCAGTATTTTAAAAACATAAGACTTTTTAAACACATGTAAAATATTAAATTAAGGGTCATGGATTGAGTCAAGATTTGGAGAAGATTTCTAGGCTCATCTATTCAGAAATAAGTCCCATTGTGGTTAGTAGGTCTTCATTAAGAGAGAAGTCTGAGCTAGTTGAATTTGGATCCTATTAGAATACGTAGTACTTTACTGCCAAATTTCGCTTTGATATCATTGGGAGTTAGTACTAGATTCAGATACATGCAATTACATTTATACATTTTCCTGCATATGTGACATACAGTAAATGCTGCACGGTCAAAGGGCTCTGAATTTTATTGTAATTTGAGCACCCCAAGTGCATGAAATTTATGAAATTTTTATTCTGAATGTTTTTTTTCCCAGTTCTACGGCAGCAAGTTACAGTATCTGAGATGCAACTGGCAAACTGGACACAGGTCTCGGATTTCATCTTGATAGGTTTTCCTGGAACCAAGACACATAACTTGTCACTCTTCATAATTTTTTTGGCTGCCTATGTGCTGACAGTCATGACTAATGTAGTGATCATTGTAGTAACCCATATCAATGCTAAACTTCATAAGCCTATGTATCTCTTCCTAAGTAATCTTTCTTTTTTGGAACTCTGGTATGTTTCTGTCACTATCCCTAAGATATTGGCTAGCTTTGTGACATCAAATAACATCTCTTTCATTGGTTGCATGGCCCAGCTGTATTTCTTTGTGGCTTTGGCATGCACTGAGTCTGTCCTTCTAACTGTTATGGCTTATGATCGCTATGTTGCTGTCTGCAACCCATTACGCTATCCTACCATCATGACTCAAAACTTCTGCATATGCTTAGCAGCTGGTTCATGGATGAGTGGCTTTTTGACAGCCACAGGGAAGATGATCTTTATTGCTCGCCAGAGCTTCTGTGGACCTAACATCATCAACCACTTCTTCTGTGATGTATCCCCAGTTCTTCATTTGGCCTGCTCAGATATGTCATTGGCCGAACTCATGGACTTCCTACTAGCCTTGATTATTCTCCTTGTCCCACTGGCTGTGACAATTGCCACCTACATCTGTATCATAGCCACAATTCTGCACATTCCATCCGCCAAAGGAAAGCAAAAGGCCTTTTCCACTTGCACCTCACACCTTGTGGTGGTGACTGTTTTCTATTCTACTACCATGTTCATTTATGTAAGGCCAAGAACCCTCACCTCTTTTAACACCAACAAGCTGGTGTCTGTTTTCTACACTGTTCTTACACCTCTTCTCAATCCAGTCATTTACTGCCTGAGAAATAAAGAATTCAAGGAAGCTCTCAGCAAAACAGTGTGTGTTGCTTTCTCAAGAAGTATGGACTAATATTATATTATATTATTTATTTATTTGATTTATATCCCGCCCATCTGGTATATTCTACCACTCTGGGCGGCTTGCCACATATATGGTAGACAATATAAACTCTATCAAATCTGGATGATCAAGTGCTTTCGTATGAAATCATGTGTTTTTCCACGTTTGACTCCAGAAATATATCTGGCTTCTGGGTGTCATGTTCTTTAGTGGTGTAATGGCAATTACTGAGATTAGGTCATAGTATTCCAACTTTAAAATACTCATGTCAGAGATGTTCAGCTAACTCATTCTTGTCTATGTTTCAGTCTCTCTTATTTTATCTCTGCTGTTTCTGTTGGGAACCACTCCACTCACTAATATTGCATTATATTAATATTAGTTTAGTAATGATTGCTAATAATTCAAGTAGAGATACAATATTTTAGAATCTTAGCTGGAATTAAGAGAAGAGCTACGTTCCCACATTTTTAGAAGGTTATCAATATTATATTGAGAGTTGATGCGGACTAAATCACAGATAATGTAAGAGTTAGCAATCTTTATAAAATTCCATTCCTACTCTAGTTAGATGGTGTTAGCTAGCTTTGCTAGATTACTTTCAAAGAATAGCTCCATTGAAATCTGTAGATCTGAATGACAAAACTAAGCTGTAGGACCTTCTCTTGGTCCACCTTAAATGTGACTAAATATAAAGTCAATTAGTGTGATAAAGCAGTGATCCCGTGAAGGCAATTTTAAGCAGCATCTCTGTGGCAAGTTTTGATATGAGGCAAGTGGAGAAATAGATGCAGGTGTACTTCAATTGGCAGGACAATCTACCATCCTTGCCCTTTTCAAAGTCATGTGATACAGACCCTCTCTACTAGACTGTTGTTAATTCATGCCCTATTAAAAGTAACAACTAGAAATCTTAAAATGTACCCAATACAGCTCCAGCTTGATTGAGGGCTAAATGGGAAGGTTCCAATAGCACCTTATGAGGACCTCTTTGGTAAATGTTTGTGGATGGGATTAATTGTTGTGAATAAGATGTGAAGTTCTTTCATTTCTCATAATAAACTGCAGGATTTACATAAAACGACAGAGAGAATGTTTAAAGTGTTATTGAAAAAACAGTAACATGCATATACCAATGATGAGTGATTTTTTTTTGAAAAATATTATATGTCAGGTGTATGTATCACAAAGATTGCTGCAATGGCTAAAATCCTGCTGCATAGCATAGTAAATCTCAACTAGAGGAAGTCTACTGAATCAATGGGGATTTGGTCAGAGATAAGTTCCATTGATTCAATAAGCCTACTCTAGTTGTGATGTACTATTCTAAGCAAGAGGATTTCAGCCAATGGATCTTTGTCAATGTTCCATCCACTTTTCTGTCCTGCTATGTCGTCCACAGTCCTAATGGATCTCTCCACTGCTTAGAGGGGATGTTGGTACTTGTTAACAGAAAATGGGAGTGAACTGAAAAAGCTCCATTTTATCTTCCAGTTAATACAGATGCCTAAACCACTGAGCTATCCAGCAGTTACCTTGCCATACTCCTCAAAAATATGTTATATATATGCAAAGCCAGAGGTTGAGAGCTTAATTCCTCATTGTGCCTCTTTGACAGCACTGGACTTTATGATCCATAGGGTCCCTTCTATCTTTACAGTTCTAAGATTATGACGGGAGGCCTTCCATAAATGGCAAAATTGCTACCACTTCTTAGCCACCCAGAGCAGTGCTCAAGCACTAGATGAGCAGGGTACAAATGTATTAAACAAAATAATAATAATAAAAAATAATAAATAAATTTGTCACAAAGATGCTTTTTGTGTAAAAATATTTTTCAGTTAAAAAAAACCTCAGACAACTGGGAGTTTTACTCTCACGGAGGCCTAGGAGTTCTCAAAGATGGCCAATGAGGGTTGAATTCAGTCAACAGGAAGCATGTTGCTACCTTGTCTAAATGACATACATAACAACAATAAATGTTACTCCCTGGGGTAGGGTGCAAATCCTGAAAATACTATTTGTGGACAAGATATTTAAAGTTTCTGGTTGCTTCACTGCTCAGAAACCAATTTCTCCTGAATCTCTCTCCCTGTCACTTCAAGCAGTCGGGTAATGCTGCCTCCCAAATCATTTTGACTCCCTCAGTGGCACAGCCGGATGGAATACAAATTATAAATTACAAAAGGATTATTGCAAGTCAGTAAAAATAATACCACTGGTTCCTCTTCCAGAATTTCTGTTCCTGGTGCCTGTAGAGTTTTTGGATTCCAACTATGACAGGATTATTTCCAAATCTTAGTGTTTCAACTTGAATTGCTATTTTATCAGCTCCCCATAGTTTTAGAACAGGGGGTTTTACAGTCTGTGGACCAGATATCACACTAAAATTTTTAAAAAAGGCCATGGACATAATAACTGCCATGAGGAGGAGGCAAAAACAAAATAACTTTATCATGGATACTAAATGTCCCAGAAATGATATCTAAAAGATTTTTACTCCTACAGCCTATGTAAGATGGGTAAACAACAAGGTGTGCTCTAAAGTTATAGTATTGACCTGCACCCACTTATAATCTTCTTTTCCTAAAGATACCTCTGAACCCATATGTTACTTGGAAGCATGCTGGGGAAACCTACTTAAGATCATAGGTGTGTGTGTGTGAAAATGAGATACTTTGCAGTCACCCGTGCCAAATTTTTAAGACATCGAGAATGGCAGGCACCTCTGGTAAACAATAATGGGAGGTGCCTGGTGGTATCATGTTAGGAACCTTGTATTCAGGAATGGCTCTGTCTTTCAGCAGGATGGTGCAACTGCTTCAGATAGCAGATGCTGGAAACAGCAGCAAGTGCCTCCCTGTTTCCTAACTGTTCCCATTCTTGAAGGACAAAGCTTTGTTCTGATTGTGCTAGAGCTGACACAACCTGCCTTCAGCTACCTAGCTTAGCCTGCTGTCAGAGGTAACAAGAGGTTACTCAACCAGTGCTGAGGTAAAATTGAACTGCACTGTCTGTCAGCTTTTGAAAAAACAGTGGATATGACTAATAATCCTCACCATAGTTCTCATCAGATAGCTTATCTTCATGTTGAGAATGGGACACACTTTGATGTTGTTGTTGTTGTTAAGGTTCCTACAATTTACCAAGTCTGTCCCTGAGGAAGTTCAATGTTATTTCTTTTTGTGAAGCAAAGCATTCATGCCAGGGCTAGCAACTTGAATGCATCTTTTTATTTCAAAGCAAAACTGAAAACTCAGGCAAGCAACTTGAAATCTAATGAAGGGCTGGACCATGAGAAACCCACTGGAACTACGACTCTGATTGTTTCTCCTTTCGCCCTCTTGACCTATTTCATGAAACAGTAACCCATTCCTGAATTTTTCCCATCTATCTATAGTAGGTAAACAAAGACGATGAACTACAGGTAAAAAAAAAATTATGCACATTGGCACATTGTTTAAATAATTGGTTGTTAGTAAACATATCCCAAAAGGTTATTGCTCAGAGATATGAATTAGGTCTCCTGTGTGTGGAGGAGACACTTGAAATAGCACCACCACATAATGGTAATCTATTTTCTGTTTCTTTGACTGAAACTATGCTCCTTACTATGGATGGGGGGTTAATGAAATGTAGGAAGTCTGAAATATGAGGATAGCAATTGATAAGTAGAGAAAAAAGAGATCATATTGAATAATCCAAAAATTTATCCAAAAAGAATATTAATTTTATTAAGTAGCTAGGTATCAACGATTCACTTAATGATTTTGTTAATCAGCTTCATATGATGTATTGCCACCTACAAATTATTAAATATTACCTGAGTCCTGTGGATGCTGGCCTTCATTGAGGTGAATATACATTTTTAAGATGTTTTCTCCTATTACAGGTTTTCATATCTTTCTCATTTTTTCTATCTATCTATCTATCTATCTATCTATCTATCTATCTATCTATCTATCTATCTATCTATCTATCTATCTATCTATCTATCTATCTATTTATTTCTCATTCCTACAATATGGAATTCACTTATGGAATCTAGTTCCAGAAGTTGTAGTAAAGGGCACCACCTTAAATGACATTAAAACAAAGTTTGCCAATATCAGATCTATCAGCAGTGCTACCTCAAGGTTATCCACATGGCCAAGATTAAGCCTTGTGGAACGCTAAAGGATTTCTGAATGCACTGGTGTAGAATTTGTTTGTTCGTTTGCTTGTTCACTTATTTAATTAATGTACTGCCCATCTAACCAGAGGCCACTCTGGATAGTTTACAACAACAACAACAAAAGATAAAACAACAGAATTGCACTGCAAGTGTCCATATTTTAAAACACTTCCATGCTGAGAGGATGGGGTTTTGAATACCAGACACTAAGAATAAAGGGCTGTGAGGTTTGTGCCCTGCGTGCGCCATTCACAACAGGACTTTTGCAATGTTCTTATGTTGCATGTGTTGCTATGACTGACCTCCTCCTCCTTATCCTCTTCCACTGTACAGTATTGTTTTCGGGTTCTCCTAGAAATCAACAATTGCTTTTAAAATTTGTGAATCATGGTGTGTTGTTTGGTGGCTGGACATCCCTTTGCAGAGTAAGATAAAGAGAAGGTCAGCTTGATAAGCAGATCTGTTCTCACCACAGGGTTTCATGTATTCCAACCCAGCCTTCTATTTTATAAATATATAGATCTGAAGATTAGAAGAATAGGTATGAAAAAGAGATAGAAGTGTTGCCGGTGACTCTGTTATGAGAAGTTTGCTGAAAATGCAAGCCTTACTGGCAAATTTGCACATTAATATATTGTACTTCTCCCATTGAATTAAACATAAATCCATTGATATAAGATGGTTCATGTCTGTTTACCTGCCTGGCTGGCTGACTAGCTGGCTAGCTTGGAAGCTTCCCATCCACCCATCTTCATGACTATAGATCTATGAATAAGCTTTTGAATCTTTGTTGTGTTCAGTCAGAAATCAGACCATTGATATGCATATTTTAAAGCTAGAATGACTGAGGACAATAGTAATTGGGGACACATATATCTGATGATATATCAGAATAATGCATCATAGTTGTATAGTGTTGTTGTTTTTTACTTAACCCTGGCCACTACATTGACCTGAGAAAACTTAAAATCTTTGAACTAAAGAGCTTCTTCCTATTTGGAATACAAAGAGAGAGATAAAAATTCTGATGGCAATTTTATATATATTTTAATTGTATTTTAATTGTTACATATCTTTATTGTATTTTAAATGCTGTAAGCCGCCCAGAGACCTTTGGGTAGTGTGGGCGGCATATAAATTAAATAAATAAATAAATAAATAAAATAAAGGAACAAGTTTGCCAATTTCTCTAGAAAAATAATCTTCTATATCCTGAGGATGCTGAATGATGTAACTTTCAGGTTCCCATTTACTTTTCGGTAATTGTCATTGAACTCAATGTGATTGCCTTCTGAATACAGCCATATAGGGTTGCCCTGCTAGCAATATTCTACTGAAATGATTGGTATGTCCCTATTTATGCTGAGTCACAGATGTCCTGTTCAAAGGCTCAAACAGGAGATCCGTACTTTATCAGCTCTGTATTATAGCCACTTAAATGTGAACCAACCTCATCTGACCTCAGATGGCCCTATTTTTGAGCTGTCCAACTCAAACTCCACACATGTAACTAACATGCGACTAAAATAGGTGCAGGAGGTCATTAATTCATAAGGTTGCCATAAGTCAGGAGCAACTTAATGGTGCATGTAAAGAATATAGCACAAGGACATGGATTGGAATTCAGGCAGGAACTGTGGTGGGGATTTGTTAACTGATTGTTGCCACTGAGATGCCGACAATTTTCATTACCTTGTGAACTGTTAAGATCGACAGATCAGTTTATGAGAAGGGGAACCACAGATGTTGGGGATGATCCAGATTGAGACCACAGTGAAGGGATGGAATTGTTAATTCCCCTTATGACCTTAATATAGATCAGAGCTACATAAGCCACCCATGTCACAGTTTTAATGTTCTTGTTTTCCCTCTTCTTCTTTTCTTCCCCATGTCTTCATCAACCAGAAATGATGCCAACATGGAATCTGCCAACAGGAGTGTGGTGAAGATGTTCGTCATCCTGGCATTCCCTGCTTCTCCACAGCTCCGCATGCTGGCTTTCACCCTCATCTTGTTGACATACATCCTCACTATCACGTCCAATATGGTCATCATTTCAGTTATCAAGGCAAACCGTAAACTACAGCGCCCCATGTACTACTTCCTTGGCAATTTCTCATTCATGGAGATCTGGTACACTACTTCCACGGTGCCGAAAATGCTAGAAAGCTTCCTGGGCGGTGGAAGTCCAATCACTGTGGCAGGCTGCATTGCTCAGCTCTACCTTTTCTTTGCTTTGGGCTCCACTGAGTGTTTTCTTTTGGCTACTATGGCTTATGACCGCTTCTTGGCCATATGCCACCCTCTGCATTATCCAGCCCTTATGAATCTACAAACAACCACCTGGCTAGTTACAGCAGCCTGGGTGGGCGGTTTCCTAGCTCCTTTGCTCCCAATTGTATTGATATCCCAGCTCTCATTTTGTGGGCCAAAGGTGATCCACCACTTCTTTTGTGATGCAGGACCCCTCTTGAGGCGGTCCTGTGACAATGCCTTACTCAGCTCTACCATGGTCTCAGTGCTAGCTTCTCTTGTCATCCTCAGCACCTGCTTACTCACCATGATATCCTACACCTTCATAATCTCAACCATCCTCCACATCCCATCAGCCACTGGAAGGCGGAAAGCCTTCTCTACCTGTGCCTCACACCTCGCAGTGGTAGTAATTTACTATGCTACGGTTATTTTCATATATGTACGACCCATCTCTCCTTCATCCTCAGAGCTGGACAAGGTGGCATCCTTCTTTTATGCAGTTGTTACTCCACTGCTCAATCCAATGATCTATAGCTTAAGGAACAAGGAGGTTAAAGAAGCTCTGAAGATGATGGTGGGCAACAGACAAATGTTTGTGAAGAAAACCAGAACTCTGTCAATGGATTGTTTATAAAGGAGACTTTATATCGGCAAGAGAACAAAGCTCTGATGTGCCAAAATCTCTTTCTTCCTTCAGAAATCACTCTTCCTCTGCCATAAACTGAATCTAGGTGCACAATCCTTCCTTATTCTGGAGGTGACCTTAGCAAACTTACTTCTTCAGCTACGTCTCCTGAAATCCAACTTGGTCATGCAGATTGGAGGAACTTGTGGTCCCCAAAAGTAACTTTCTCAAATTCTACTCTTGAGGACCTTAGAAGCACTTAGAAAGATTCTAAAAATGTGTTTGTAGGGAATCCCTCTTGAGAGTATTCCACTTGGCAAAGAAGCCACTATAGTTCCTATCTCCCACCACCTTTTGAACCTCAGGATGAGTGAAAACCCAGAGGATACATGCATTAGAAACTATGGGCAAGGTTCTAACCTAGGTTTTCACCTGTCCCTGTCACCTGAGACAGAAATTCTCCTGATTGTGTACTTTATGCCTAGTACACCAACCAGAAAAGGTAGACCACACAAAATACTTAAATGTAGTGAATGTAGCCATCTGGCCAGGCACCTTCTTTAGACAGTCAACCCTTTTTCCCGCAAGGATCACAGCTTGGCAAAATATTAAAATGTTTATTAAAAAGGTAAAAGAATTTGAATTGTGGTGCTGGAGGAGGCTCTTGAGAATCCCCTGGACTGCAAGGAGAACAAACCTATCAGTTCTAAAGGAAATCAACCCTGAATGCTCACTTGAAGGACAGATCCTGAAGCTGAGGCTCCAGTACTTTGGCCATCTCATGAGAAGAAAAGAGTCCTTGGAAAAGACCTTGATGTTAGGAAGGTGTGATGGCAAGAGGAGAAGGGGACGACCAAGGATGAGATGGCTGGACAGTGTCTGCGAAGCAACCAACATGAACCTGACACAACTCCGGGAGGCAGTAGAAGACAGGAGGGCCTGGCGTGCTCTGGTCCATGGGGTCACGAAGAGTCGGACACGACTAAACGACTAAACACACACAAAAGAATTTTAAAAGGCAAGTTGTACAGCTTCAAACAATCCAAAAGCATCAAGCAATTCCTATTCAGATAAAGTGAGCTCTACGTGAAAGCAAACCCCATAAAATAATAAAAGCTGGCTATTTCTACCTAACACTATTTTCTAGTTAAGTAATCATGGCTAAGTCTCTACAATGGCAAAAAGCATTTGAAGAGTCTAAGAACCTAACTTCTTTCTAGATCTAAATTTCTGTTCCCCCAACATGTTGTTATCCAATCAGGTTCAAGTACTTTGTCCAGCAATTTCACCCTCAAAGTGTAACTTATTACAGCCCCTCCTTTCAGTTCTCATGAGAGCCTCTGCTGATGAGCAATTAGGAATGGAATGTGGTGTTTAGACTCTGCTTGGCACTTCTTGAAGTGGTCCAAAGCTGGGCAAAATGCATCTTTTTTTCTCATGCACATAAAGTGCCACCTGTAACAGACTGGACAGGTACAACATATCCCATTCAATCTCCTCATGGCATTTATCACTACTAGCCAGCAGTCCCCTGAAATCTTTGGGGAAAGCCTTGACATAGACTTAATCATGATCTGCAATGTCATGGACACACTTTTTCCGTGAGTTACCAATATTATACATACAGGTTTTCCCAATCTCTGTGACCAATCCAGATACTTGATGAATGAGTGGAATGTTTTCCTTATAAGGGTAAAGGTAAAGGTTCCCCTTGACATTTAGTTCAGTCGTGTACAACTCTAGGGGGCGGTGCTCATCCCCATTTCCAAGCCGTAGAGCCAGCGTTTGTCCAAAGACAATGTCCATGGTCACGTGACCAGCGCGACTAGACATGGAATGCTGTTACCTTCCCACCATGGTGGTACCCATTTATCTACTCGCATTTGCATGCTTTCAAACTGCTAGGTTGGCAGGAGCTGGGAGAAGCAACGGGAGCTCACTCCGTAGCATGGATTTGATCTTATGACTGCTGGTCTTCTGACCTTGCAGCACAGAGGCTTCTGTGGTTTAACCCTCAGCGCCACCACGTCTTTCCTTATACATGTGCATTATTTTTATTAAAAGGCGGGATGTATTTATTTAAAGGTGTTACTATATTTTGGTGAATTTGCCTTTCTCCACAACAAATATTAAATATTCCAACAATTATCTGTTTTTTCCCACTGGGAAAATTCCAAGTGTAAGGTGGCCAGAGGAAGAGGAAGAAGCACAGAGGGAAATGGCCCAGTCTCCATCAACAGAGAGAAAACAACACTAGAACCCAAAATATTGGTTTTGAAGAATGTTTCTTCTATTGGCTTTGAAGAACATTTTGCTCTTCCTGCTAACTAAGGGGTGTCCTGAGCTGCAGTGCTAATCACAGCCATCTTAACCACCAGTTGCTGAGAAATTGTGCTCTGTTTGCCCAGTCATGGCTCTAATGGCTTCAACAGACTGGGGGAAATTCCTTCTTCAACTGCTGCCATAACCAGACAAATTCTATGATGATGGGCTGTCTCACAAACTCATCTCCCTCAGGAGAAGGCAAGACTAAGTCAAATCTGTTCAAGTGGAGCTCTCTAGAAAAGTAGAGTTCTTTCATTATGTATGTGCTCTATTTTTGAGAAGTGGAATTGTATTTATTTAAAGGCATTGCTATATTTTTGGTGACTTTCCCTTTCTCCACAGCAAGTGTTAAATAAAGTTGTTTCAAAATATTTGCTACACAGTAAGAGTGGTTCAAGATATGAAAGCCAGTGGAATAAAGTGGATTGGCTATTAGACTAGGTGTCAGCAGACTTGGCTTCAACATCTCATGTACTTCAAAAATATTACGGAGGTAGCCATAAATTAGATATTACATGTTGGTTCAATACTTATTCACGGATGCTTCTGTCCTTTCAAATTTTGGAACAGTAAACTTAATTCATAGCACTGAAATCTAAGGAGTTTTGCTGGGGGGGAGTCACAGGCAAAGAAGAATATTAATTTGGGATTCCTAATGTCATTGATGGTACTTATTCCCATTTAACAATGCAATCTGAGATGTCCCAGCTGAAGAGGTTTTGTAATAGGCAGAACTCTCTTCTGAAATCTCCTTTTGCAGGCACAAATGCTCTTATGCAAGCAAAGCCACCTTTTGTTGGCTCATCTCAGAGAATGTCCAGAAGAAGAATCTGACAGTAGAACTTTCTGCTGGCTGAGATCTGTCAGCAAAAGAGCCAAATGGGTAGAGCAAGGATGAAGTTGGGTTGCGTGGGATCCAAATTTTCTTCATTCTAGGCACACAACTATGATGGTGGTACAAAGTAAGGCCAAGGTGAAGGTAGTCCTAGGTAAGTTACAGTATCCCTGGATAAGAAGGGTTTGGATTCAGAACAGCTTTAGGGTAATAGTCTCACCTCATATTGACCCTTGGCCATCATGACTAGTTAAGATTGCACTCTTATGTATGCTAAGGTTAAAGTGCATGGATATCTTTAATTTTTGTATTTTGTTGTGTTGAATTTATTCCAGATGACTTGGTGAGCATTTTAGAGCAATAGGATTTTGACCAAAAATATTAATTGAAAAAATATCAATTAGTATTTGTAATTATTTAATTATTGGTCCGTGCTGATCTGCGACTACCATTCTGTTTGTTAAAATAGTCAAAAAGTGCATCTTAATTACTACTTGAAAAATAAAATAAATGTTCATTATCCATCTAGATGATGACAACTAGAGTCACAGGAAATGTTGAGCTTCAATGAGTTCTTTATAGAGATAGCTAAATGTTATGGACAAAGAGCTGCTGGATATCTCAGTGGTTTAGGCTTTAAAACCAGAAGTTTCCTCATTGTGCCTCCTTGATAGAGGTTAGACTCAATGATCCATAGAGTCCCATCCAGCTCTGCAGTTCTAAGATTATGGTGATGATTAAAGAAAATCATACCTTATGTATCATTCTTTCATAGAATGGCCAGATCCTGTTGGCTTGAGCCATTCTATGGAGGAGGCACAGTGTCAAGGAGGCACAGTGGAATATCAGATTCCCAACATCTGGCTCTGAAGACAGATACATAAACCACTGAGCTAAGAACAATTGAAAACAGTTCCCTTGAGCACCTAATTGTGGTTTCATCAGGCAAGAGATAAATAGTAATTAAGGACCAATAGAAAATGATCCCAGGTAGTGGAATTCTACGTGTGAAGAATCACACACTGTTACGTCAGAAGGAGGAATGCAAAAAAAAAACTTGTCAAATTTCTTGTTCTTTTCTATCTACAGTGGGGCCCCGCTAGACGATTATCCCGCAAAATGGGTAATCCACAGGACAATGATGTTTTGTGATCGCTATAGCAATTCGCAAACCGTTTTATCCTATTAGGGATTTTGCTGGACGATGATTTGGTCCATGCTTCACAGATCGTTTTCCACAAGACAATGATTTTTACAGCTGATGAGTGCTTCTGTTTTTCACAAGACAGCGATTTTACAGTTGATCAGCGCTTCGCAAAATGGCTTCCCTATGGGCGATTTTCGCTGGACAATGACCTTTTTTTCCCATTAGAACGCGTTAAATGGCTTTCAATGCATTCCAATGGGGAAACACTTTTCGCAAGACGATGTTTTCACAAAACAGTGATTTCAATGGAATGAATTAACGTTGTCTTGCGGGGCACCATTGTATGTATGTATGTATGTATGTATCTATCTATCTATCTATCTATCGATCGATCGATCGATCGATCGATCGATCTAGTGGCAAGCCACTGCTCTGGGCTGTTGTGAGCGAAATACATACCCACAACAGTAACAGTAACATAACCAGATATAAGCATAATGCAACATAAAGCACATATCCCAGATGGCAACAGCGAAATCAAATAACATAGCACAAGATTGGTCAGGAAATCTGTCATATGGGGAAGATTTTTCTGAACACCTCTTTGAATGGCAGCACTTTACCTTGCTTCCAGAAGGACAGAAATTCCACAATGTTGTGATTACCATTGAGAAGGTCCAGTTCCTAGGGGTCATTTTCTGGGATTTCTTCAGGGTAGCCACTCACAACAATTAAACCTGAGATGATTAAGTGGTTGAATAGAACAACTTAGGGAGAGATGCTCCTACAAGTACTAAGGTCCCAAACCATTTAAGACCATGTAAATTAAAATTAGCACTTTGAATCTGGCATGCAACCAGACGGGGACCCAGTGCAGTTTAGGCTATCTTGACACAATTCAGTCCAATTACGAGTTTCCAAATTCTACAGAATTCCTTTGCCTTTGAGACAAATAATAAATTTCCCTCTCTTACTGAGGTCTCGACAATTTACACAAGATGTCTTTATGTCTCTTTCTGTTAAGAAACAAAGCATACATCTCAAGAATATGCAGAATGACTAAATTGTTTAAGAAATGCATGGAATTTATGTAGTGCTTATAATTCACGTTCCAAGGGACGTGGTGGCGCCCAAGGGACGTGGTGGCACCAAGGGACGTGGTGGCGCTGCAGGCTAAACCGCAGAAGCCTGTGCTGCAGGGTCAGAAGACCAAGCAGTCATAAGATCAAATCCACGCGACGGAGTGAGCTCCCGTCGCTTGTCCCAGCGCCCGCCAACCTAGCGGTTCGAAAGCATGCAAATGCAAGTAGATAACTAGGGACCACTTCGGTGGGAAGGTAACAGCGTTCCGTGTCTACGTCGCGCTGGCCATGTGACCACGGAAGATTGTCTGCGGACAAACACTGGCTCTATGGCTTGGAAACGGGGATGAGCACCGCCCCCTAGAGGCGAACACGACTGGACAAAAATTGTCAAGGGGAACCTTTACCTTTACCTTTATAATTCTTAACAATCAAAGCAGCATTCATATTTTTGTTTAGCTTCTGTTACCTATGTGGTTTTCATACAAGTTCTTGCAACTGCAAAACATTTATTCAGACCACAGAAATTAGTCCATGCCCTGTAGGCGACAGGAAAAAAAAATCTGCAATATATTGTTCTCACACTCAAGAATAAGACAATGGTTTACACCCCTAGATGGGAAAATCTCTATCAATGGTCCAGAAAGCATTTCTGATCACACATTCTCTGAAGCAATGGTAAGACTCAGAGATCATAATGCCTGACACTTCCCTTCATTTCTTCCAGATAGCCCTATCATTTTCTGGTTGCAGGGACATCTTAGGTGGGAGCTGGCCGAGCACATTTTTCAGATGCAAGAAATATCCACTTGCTATTTGGAAGAATACTTCCTCGACATCATTGTCAGAGTTGCCAAGGAAATCTGATGGGGAGTCAACCATGGCCAACCTACCTACAATCCCTTGCTCTGAGGATGGAAACCGTAACTTTTCAGTTTAGGAGCAATTCATGACTGTATTTACAATTGTTCTGTTCTAATCACTCCCAGTACATAAGGATTGTGGATATGCTTTCTAAATAGACAATGATTTTTTCCAAACTGTTTGTTCAGGGAATATCTGCCCTTGATAAAATTGTACATTAGATAAATTAACAACCAGGGAACTCTTCTGAGGAAAACTAAATAATTAGCTTGCTTAAGATATTGCTTGTTTCCTTTAATTCACTCCTTTGACTCCACAATCATCTGGGGTTGGGAAGATCATCTGCCACTTAAATGCGCAGTCGTCCAATCATGAGTCAGTTCCAAAAGGCCAAGAGATGTTGATAAAAATTAAAGTATGAACCACTGCATCATCTTGGAAGACTATGAGAAGCAAATTATTTTCATTATGCCATAGGCAGTATGAAGGTACTGCATATGGTAAGATGTATTACAAGAACTTCATGACAGCGACTTGAATATCAGAAAATCTAAGTGGAAAAACTGTTGCTTCATCTGTGATTCTTGAGACAATTAAAGCAATTCTGAGTTGATAAATAATCAGAACTTCAGAATTCATTGACAGCTGAATGCACAAATATCTGTTTCTTCAGTACTCTAACTAGATTGTATGATCACACTTTATACGTAAGAGATTATTGTATTGTATTATACTGTATTCATTGACCCTTTTTGTATTGTATATTCACTGTTACTAATCTTAAATAATGTCTTTTAATTGTTTTAAGTCACTTTGGCTCCTTTTTAAGGATAAAGGAAGGTTGAAATATCTATTTATTTATTTATATTTAATTTGTACCCTGCCCATCTAGACCGAAGTCTACTTCGGGTGACAAACAGCAATCCAAATTATAACAGAATAAAATAAAACAACGGCATTAATATAATTCAAGATGGCAAGAAATAAATTAAGTAATGACAGGAGGGAAGGCCTGCCTAAAGAGCTAGGTCTTGAGTTTGCTCTTAAAAATACACAGCGAGGGGGTGTAAACCATTGTCTGTCTTATTCTTGTGTATGAGAAAAATATTATTTTCAATATTGTTTTCAATAAATAAATATTTAAACAATATTGTCATTGTTGCTACTCCTTCTGCTACTGATAAGAATGATAAAAAACCCAATGGGAACTAAAAGTAATAATTTCTGTGCATACGATGGAAAGAAAGCTAAAGCAATTGCTATCTCCTTTCTTTTTAATATATTTATCCCACTTTAAGGATCAGAGGACAGTTCCAAATTATTTGTGTTTATTTATGTCTTGTAGAACAAAGAGGGAGGGAGCCTTAAGGTCTCAAAAATCATTGCTAGAGGAAAAGGAACCTTTAAAAACACAAATGCTTCTCTCCTTAGCTGAGTTCACTTTGCATGTTTATGCCAATAAAGGTTATGATGATGATGATGATGATGATGATGATGATGCACTTTGCATGTTTTTAGCAATCGTTCTATTCTATTTAATTTCTGCATTAAAACTCAAATTATATATTTCAATGGTATTCATTTCCTTCCTTGTATGGTTTGAAACATTTACAGTTTAATTCTACGCCGCTGTACTCAAAATTGAGTTGAATGGAAATTATTACCAAGAAAGTGAGCACATGATTGCTGAAACTGTGCTGGAACAGTTGGAGAACTGTGAAATCCAAGGGGCTTCTAAGTTCCTGTGTTCATATTAGTCCAAGAGATGAGGAACAGGTAAGTTTCCCTAAGATTTTGCAATGTTGCCTAGATAATTTAATAATATATATCTTTGCTCATCTAAATTGCATAAGAAGGAGTCTTAAAAAGTATATGAACTGTATATGAAGTATTCACGAAGGCTTTCACGGCTGGGATCCAATGGTTGTTGTGGGTTTTTTGGGCTGTTTGGCCGTGTTCTTAAGGTTTTTCTTCCTGACGTTTCGCCAGTCTCTGTGGCCGGCATCTTCAGAGGACAGGTGTTAGAACTCTGTCTGTGCTCTAGTGCAGTTTGTTGGATTGTGAGTATTTATAGCTGTAGGATCAGCTTTTGTTCTTTTCAGGAGATTGGGTGATTATGGTGATCAATATGTTTTTTGTTGTGGGTTTTTTGTTGTGATAAGGGGAAGAGATGATGTGTCACTGTGCTTGATGGGTGTCATTAGCTGGTATTTTGTGTGCAGTGATCAACAGTCCTTGTGGCTGGGTAGAGTTTTTTGACCTTTTGCAGGCTGTATTTTTCAGTGCTGGGAGCCAGGCTTTGTTGAGTTTTAGACTTTCTTCTTTTTTTGTTGAAATTCTGCTGGTATTTGTGGATTTCAATGGCTTCCCTGTGTAGTATAACATAATGATTGCTGGTGTTGTCCAGTACTTCTGTCTTTTGAATTAGGATTTCATGTCCAGCTTGTTTTAGGGCATATTCGGCTACTGCCGCTTTTTCCAGTTGTTTCAGTCTGCAGTGTCTCTCATGTTCTTTGATTCTGGTGTGGATGCTGCATTTTGTGGTACCAATATATACCTGGCCACAATTGCAAGGTATCCGGTATACTCCTGCAGTGGTAAGGGGGTCCCTTTTGTCCTTTGCTAACTGTAACATTTGTTGTATTTTTGTGGTGGGCTTGAATACTGTTTGTAGGTTCTGTTTTTTCAAATGTTTCCTGATGTGGTCCGTGACCGCTTTGATGTATGGCACAAATACTTTATTTGTGGATGACTGTTTTTCCTCTTCAGTTTGGTGTTGTTTTCTTGGTTTATGAGTACTCCCCACTATGCAATTCAATCTTAATGTGCACATAGACCTCCATTCCTGGAAGTTGCTGTGGTGAACTGATGATTTGCCTGTCTTGCACACAACTCACATTCTAGCAGATGTCTTTAGCAGATCTTGTAGCTGTAGTTCCATAAGCATAGTGAGCATGATATTGACTTCTGTCTCTTTCTTATCTGAAATTTAACTTTTTTTTATTTTAGAGTATAAAATATGTTCTGACTAGACTGAGTTGGACTTAGCTGACTTCAGTGCTATTGCTTTCTATAGCTATACTCAGGATCCACAATTCCATATTTATTGAATAAGTCTTTATCCATCTAGTATGTATTTCTTTGTGGTATTTTTTTTTTCATTTGAGTTTCTCTTTCTTAATTGACGGAGACTTAAACATTATTAATACTGGGCAAATATGATTGATTTATATTCTTCTTTTATTAAGCACAATGATTGAATTTAATGACTCACCACTTTGTTCTTTGGGTATAGGATTCCATTATTGATGACTACAGATAAGATCTTATCCAGAGATGGAAAATCAAACCATCATCTCTGAATTCATCCTGCTGGGATTTCCTGCCGGACTAGAGATTCAGTTGTTTCTGTTTGTGACCTTCTTCCTAACCTATGTGTTGACAGTCCTGGAGAATCTCATCATTATATCCATAGTAAAATGTAACCAGAACCTTCACAAGCCCATGTATTTCTTCCTGGGAAATTTATCTTTTTTGGAAATCTGGTATATCAGTGTCACACTTCCGAAACTGCTGGTGGATTTTTGGTCACAAAGCAAGACCATCACTTTCCACAGTTGCATGGCCCAGCTCTATTTCTTCATCTCACTTATGTGTACTGAGAGTGTCCTCCTTGCTGTTATGGCATATGATCGATATGTAGCTATATATAATCCACTTCGCTATCCTGCTATCATGACCCACAAATTATGTTTCCAGTTGGCTGTGCTGTCCTGGTTGTGTGGCTTTTCTGTCTCCTTTGTCAAGGTCACTTTCATCTCCAGGCTGAGCTTTTGTGGCCCAGGGGTCATTAATCATTTTTTCTGTGATATCTCTCCTGTACTCAATCTTTCCTGCACCGACATGTCAATGGCTGAGATGGCAGATTTCATTCTGGCTTTGGTCATCCTCCTTGGCCCACTCATAGTCACAATATTATCCTACCTATTCATCATCACTTTTATTTTTCGCATCCCTACAGCCCAAGGAAAGAAAAAAGCTTTCTCAACCTGTGCTTCACACCTCACTGTGGTTACCATCTTCTTCTCATCAACGGTCTTCATGTATGCCCGGCCTAGAAAAATCCATCCCTTTAACCTCAATAAAACAGTGTCCATTTTCTATGCTGTAGTCACCCCGGCCCTCAATCCTCTCATATATTGCCTGAGAAATAAGGAAGTCAAAGATACATTGAGGAGGAATAGGGGCAGGAAATGTACAGGTGGATAAACATGGAGCTTGGATAAAAGAAGAAAAATATTGAAGAAGTGTGTTCCATGATTGGGTGATGTGACCACATATGGGCTTTGTGAAAGGGGGATTAGATGATTGTCCTGATTCCATTCTATTTTTAGAATTATGTTTAGTAACAGTCACTGTGTACTTGCTTCTAAATAATGTGTTGCTATCCCAGTTTCTAGCTGGCTAGATAGCTCCATGAGTTAGGTATCTGACTGTAGAACCATAAGTTGGAATTTTGATTCCCCACTGTGTCTCCTGCAAGTAGAGCCAGCCTGTGTGGCCATGGACAAGCTGTACAGTTCCAGGAAGCCCCTCAGAAGAAAGGAATGATAGACCACCATTGAGTGCCCTCTATTTAGAAAAAAAAGGGACTGTATAGAATAAGTCACAATTGATTTCTTGGCATGAAAATATTATTATTAATACTCCATCCTCTAGGAGTGTTGTCTTACCAGGCACCAACATGTTTTAATTCGAAGCAATTAAGGCATCTTAAAACTAGCCAGTTTCATTCATCAGGAGCTTTTACGAACTGCAAATTATGAAGGTTTTTGCCAATAAATCTTGATTGGATTTAAGGTATCTCAAGTCTGCTTTTTTCTTACAGCATACTAACATGTTTTCCCCTTAGACCTTGCTCCCTTGCTCAGCCCGCAAATCATGCACGTAGTAACGAGTACTTTAGAGCAGTGGTCCCCAACCTTGGGGGGCCTCCAGATGTTCTTGGACTTCAACTCCCAGACGTCCTGGCCAGCAGAGATGGTGGTGAAGGCTTCTGGGAGTTGTAGTCCAAGAACATCTAGAGGCCCAAGTTTGGAGACCACTGCTTTAGAGGACATAGATCAAAAGAAGAAAGGAGGAATGGAGGGAAAAGAATATAGTTTTGCATCCCAACATATAAGTTTAACAGTATATGAATTCCAATGGGATTCTGAAAAACACAACAAAGATGGAACCTATATATATTCAACTGCATTTTTGGGAAGGCCAGAAACAAAAGTATTTGGCTAAAGATTATAACATCTATCTATCAGGCTCTTACATTTTCAGAAATGCCCTTGTTTCCTTGGAAGAGAGCTCTCAACATATACACTTTCAACTGAATGCATATAGAAGCTTCCTTTAGAAATTTCCTAAGGGAATTTCAACTTTTATGATGAACATGTAGGAAACAAAAGGTCCTTCCTCATTAGGGAAAAAGGGATATTGGTAGTAAATCTAACGTGTGAGTGTGATAAACATTCTTTGATGCAATTTCATTTTTAATACCTGAACATGACTTTTTTTCTCTCTCTCCCTCTCCCTCCCTCCCTCCCTCCCTCCCTCCCTCTCTTGGTACACAGTATGGCGTAGTTGATAGAGTGTTGGACTAGACTCTGGAGAATAGGGTTCAAATCCCCACCTGGCCATGGAAACTCATGGAAGGAGTCTATGGGTAAAACCACTCCTTAAATATCTCACTTGAAAGCCCTGTTAGGGTTGCTATAAGTTGGAGATAGGTAGGTAAATAGATAGATAGACTAGTCACCAAGAAGGCAAGTAGATTCTAGATCAAACTAATCCCGAAGACTCACTAGAAACTAAAATGGCTAAACAGAGGCTTTCACACTTTGCATGTTATCATGAGCTAGGAAGAAAAGAATTTGACTTTTGACTAGAAAAGACAGTAATGCTAGAAAAAGTTGAAAGCAGAAAGAAATGAAGAAGACCTAATAACAGACACATTGGCTTAATCATAGAAGAAACTTTCTAATGGTTATAACCTTTTGCAGGTCATTAATTCATGGCATCCTTATAAAATGGAAACATCTTAACAACACATATCAACACCTGTTAGTTGATGTTACGTTTTATTAGGCTAAAATGATACTTAAGACACTTTGACACTATTTCTCCTCAATTTGTTTTCTTCAACTGTAGTTAGATACAATTGTGGATTATTAGGTGTTTATATGTTTTTCTTTTTACTAACTGCCCTTTGTTGTTGAGTTCAGGCTTTAGCAAAATGACGTAGCATTTGGTGAAAAAAAATGCAAATTAGCAATACAGCACTGGAGGCTAAGATTGAAAAACCTTGTACTTTACTGAGCCCTTACAAACTTGGGGCATACATTCAATTTTCTTCTGATGTTCGTTGGTGGCAAATGTCAAAGAAGCCGACTTAGAGAGTCTCAGGAGTCTGAATTATTGACATGTCACAGTGAAGATTGTGTTAACTGATATGATTTGATGCCACAGTATTGCTAACTAGTGCATATAGCAGGGTCTGTTGTTTCAGGGTTGACTCTCTTGATTTCTGTGTCTATCAGCAGGTGTATCATTTATGTTGTAAGGTTCTTGCACTATATATACTAGATGCACAATCTAATGAGGTAATAAATACCAAAGCATAAATTATCTATTTGTATAGTTAAAGTCCAACTTCTCACTGAAACCTATGAACAAATGTTTGTTATTGCAACTAACTGGCCCCAAATTTAATGACTAAAATAACCTAGGTAGGAAGACAGAGTATTAGATATTTTTATTAATTCTTTTTATTAACTGTCCCTTGCTGTTGAGTTCAGGCTTTAGCAAAATGATGTAGCACTTTGGGGAAAAAATGCAAACCAGCAAGACAGCACTGGAGGCTAAAATTGAGAAGATCTCCACAGCCACAGTATATTTTCCTTTTGTGCTCAAATAAGAAGGAACAAAAGATAACCAAACACAGCAAAACACTAACATGCTGAAGGTAATAAATTTGGCTTCATTAAAAGTGTCAGGCAACTTCCTGACTAGGAATGCCACGGTGAAACTGACAATAGCTAAGAAACCCATGAAAGCAAGTACACAGTAAAACATGATCAAGGAGCCTTCATTACATTCCAGGACAATTTCTTCTGCCATTATGTTCATAACAAAATCAGGGAAAGGAGGTGATGTTGTAAGCCACACAGTACAAATTGTGGCTTGAACAAGGAAGCAGGCAAGAACAATGGTGTTAGCCAGTCGTTTTCCAACCCATCTCTTCATCTTGGATCCTGGCTTTGTGAACATGAATGCTAAAAGCACAAGGATGGTTTTGGCTAGCACACAGGAAACAGCAACTGAAAAGATGACACCAAAAGCAGCTTGTCGAAAGAGGCACATCAGTTTCTCAGGTTGGCCAATGAATAGGAATGCACAAAGGAAGCAGAGTATCAGGGAGGTGAGAAGAGCATAAGTCAGGTCTCGATTATTGGCTTTGACTATGGGAGTGTCTTGATGCTTAATGAAGACACCAAGCACCAGAGCTGTGATGAAAGAAAAATGAAGAGCCGTGATGGCTAAACTGATCCCCAAAGGTTCTTTGTAAGACAAAAAGCTTATCCTTTTGGGAATGCATGCATCCCTCTGGTTGTTAGAATAATGATCTTCTGGACACTGAATACAAGTGTCCATGTCTGAAAAAGAAAATGTTACAGTTGCAGATATAGTTTAAGTTCACTAAAAGATCATACATATCTTAAGAAGAACATACAGGTGCCAATTTCACTACAATAGGAATAGTGTAGTGCCTCGAATCAGGGCTGCTACATCAAAATCATAGGATTTGTTTTCCATCTTCCTATTCAATTTTATTTTCAAGAAGACATATTAAAGAGATTTCAGGAATCAGGATAAAAGAGCTAACAAGGAGTCAAGATTAGATATGGGCACAAAATGAACCATGAAGGGGGGGAACCTTTCCATTAATCGGACTATTTCATGATTCATTTTGGGGTGCTTTGGGGAAACATGCCGGCTGCTAAAGAACACACTTCTGGAGAGATCTACTTCGGAGAGCTATAACTCAGACATCCAAAATCCAATGTTTGCTATATTTGGTAGGGATTGGGAGGAGAGGGTAACTCAATAATTTTTCACCCTGTTTTTAATATAGTTACACTTATGTTGCCATATATCCACAGCAGTACTATGTCTATTTTCCCACCCCACCCCTACACTGCGGCAGTAGAAGATAGAGAAACTAGAAGCAGCATCTCTCTGTTAGTTTACTTGGCACACCACACACCACACACACATTTAAGAGGATAAACTACCACTGGAGTAAAGCTGAGTTTTGACTGTTGTCCTGGTTCTCATAGAGATTGGGCCTGTAGCATTTCCTGCTGAGCATAGCTTGGGAAATTATTTATTCAAGAAGTGAATGAGGTGATTTCACCCATAATCAAGGAAGCTTTAGGAAACCCTGAGAGCATAGTCTTAACACTGCATTTATGGTTGGCTTCAGTATGTCTATATATTGATTTTTCCTTGAAAGTAAGTTCCTAGGTTATGTTCAGAACAAGAAAGAAACTGAGACTTGGGTGCATGCACTTTAGTTTGTAATTCAGTCTTATGATTTGCAAAGACAGTAAGCAGTTTTTTCAGTGTTTTTACTAATTGCCCCAAATCCCATTGCACAAGTAGAAAGCTGATGACAACACTGGCAGAGGTGGTTTTCAGAAACGCCTCCTCCGTTCTGATGGTTTGTCTGACTCAATAATCCACTTTGTAGAATAGAGGAAGGAGGAAGTCTTTAATTTCTGAAAAACTCTCTTTCCCAGTAATGCCATCTGGCAATGTTTTTGTTGTTGTTGTTCCTTATAGACTTCCTTCTTCCACCCTGTGGATCCCACTGCTTCTACACAATAAAAGTGATGACTCACAAATCAGAGAAGTCATTGAAAAGGAATCATCCT